ACCTGGAGCTTTATCTGTGTCCCCACAAATGGTGCAAATGGGCGTGGAGCTTTCTCGGAACTGCTGAAAGGACCGAGTCGTAGACTGGAGATAGATCTCCAGTCCACAACAGAGTCCTTTCAATCGTTCCAAGATGGCTCCACAGGCATTTGCAACACCCAGGTGACTCTGAGGACACAGACAAGGCTCCCAGTGGCCTCAACGACTCTCTAAAAGGATGCAAATGACCAGCTGTCTGCAAGGAGTCTAAATCCTTCCATTCCCCACCATTCATTCAGAACTGAAGAAGCTTCTTGGATGAGAACTGAAATGTCTTCAAAGAAAAACCAGAAAGTCCGGTTGCCTCTTGAAAAACAAAAAGCACCTCTGGGACTCATTGACAAAGATTCCTCTCCAAATAGCTGGAAACGGGCTCAACTAGATACCAGATTAAGGAAGATCTAGCTAGTTCTTGTTCAAAGGATGGATTCTATTGTCCAATTTTTCTCCTTGCTCTCTTGTCTACGGTGAGGACTAGTGTAATGTGCTATTTCATGAAGTCTTAAGTCGGCTAGAGTTTGGGTTACAGGATCCTCAAAAGTTCTCCCTTCTGTGGCTTTTTTTAAAGGATTTAAACATGTTATTACTTTATCAACATCTAAAATACAAAGAAAAATGAAAACAAGGGGGAAATAAGAGAGGAAAAGGGGAAGAGGGAAAGGTGTAAGGGGAAAGGGAAAAGAGAAAGATCGTCGGAAGCTTTCTCCCCCCACTTTTTAAAGCATATACCGGTTCACAGAACCGAAGACAATCGTCCCTACCGGTTCAGCCAAACCGGACCGAACCGGGAGGATTACACCCCTGGGTGAGGTCAACAGTAGACAGTCTTAGGTTAAAATTATGGGGGTCTGGGAATGTAACAACAGAGTCAGGTAGAGTCATTCCTGGCGTTGACCACTCTATTGCTGAAGTCGTGTTTTCTGCAATCGAGTTTGGAGTGGTTTACCTTGAGTTTGTATCGATCGTTTGCCCGTGTATTATGGTCATTAACAGGTA